CCCCGCTCCGCCACCAGCCCTAGACCCAGCCGGAGCCCTGCGCGGTGGGAGCCCCGCGGAGATGCCGCCCCGCAGCCCGCACGCCGCCGCGGTCCTCCTGCTCTTGATCCTAAAGCAGCAGCCTTCCAGCCCGGCCCCGCGCAACGGTAAACTTTCCGCCTGTCCGCGCGGTCCCGGGGCGCTCAGCCGCACCTGGACCGCAGGATTTCCTGCGGGGCTCTTCATGCTAAAGGGAAATCACTTGGGAGCTGGGGGAAGCTGGGAAGGGCATGCACAGTGTCAAACTGCACGGTTTTTTTTTAGAAGGGATGCTCCGTTTTCCTTTGGAACGCGGGACCTGCTGGGGCTGGGGAAGCGCGCGCATGGTCTCCGTGTTAAACCGTGTTTGTGTTCTCTGGGCGCCGGCGGCCCCGGGGGGCTTGCTTGCGAACTGGATCACCCGGGAGGGGGAACCAGGGTTTAAAACGTTGTGCTCCGGTTAACATTCGGACGGTAAGGCGGCCGCGGCGGAGCCTGCCAGGCAGGGTTTGCAGTCGCCCCCGTGCAGAGCCCTGGGTCCTGCGGTGGGCGCCGTACTCGGGAGGAGACACTCTTTCGCGTTAAGCTTTACCTGCAAGTCAAAGGGCTGATGCATCCCATCCTTAATCATTGTTTTTCTCTAGAAGGGCTTTTCTATCCTAAACGTGTGTGTGTGTGTGTGTGTGTGTGTGTGTGTGTGTGTGTGCGCGCGCGCGCACTCAGGTGAGCATACACACCTTATTTCTGAGTGTAATTAGGGCCCTTAACCCCAGGGGCTGGAGGCTGCGGGTGCGGGGTGAGGTGGCAGGAGGTGGTGGGTGGACTCAGGTCTGTGTGGTGAGTTGTGGTGAGCAGCCGCGGTCAGGTTAGTCAGTCCTTTGTAACAGGACAGGGATGCCAAGCTTGTGCCCGTCTCTCCAGCAGCCGGGGGCATGCTGTTCTGAGAGAGTGAGGGGTGACTTTTGTGGAAACTGCCCGGGTAACTGATGGTGGCCCCTGCCCTTGACAGTTTGCCTCAAGTCGTAAAAACATTTGCGGGTTCTGGAATTCCTGGACCCAGGTTAGGTTGAAACATTTATAGAAGGACCCAAAGTGACCATAATGGCTGAAAATCTATACTCCCTGGCGAGGCAGTGGTGGTAGGAGATTGGTCCTGTTCAGCAGCATGAAACTGGGAGCCCCCTTTTCCCTGGAGGTCATTATGCCCGTGGGGCAGGGAAAGGGAACGTGGGGGGGGGGGCGCTGGGCTGTCAGCAGCTTTCAGTCCACTGGCTGGCGTGACATGCTTGATATTACTTCCCTCAGGGAGAAGTAGAAAGTCGGTGGGAGAAGGGAGTTACAGAAAAGTGGAAATTAATTCTTAACACTGCAAACTTTGACTGTATTCCCCTCTCGAGAAGGCTGCACTGAGACCTGAAGTTTCGCTCGAAGTCTCTGCTAGTTCCAAGCTGTTCTAAGGCGAGAGAGAGAAACAGCCATCCATTGGCTCCCTTTCCTGAAGGCCTGTCACTCCCCTCCCTCTGGGGGCAGCTCCTTCTCAGGCTTGTTCTTTCCCTGCCTGATTTCCCTCTCTCCTCCCCGGCCCTCCTTGCCCTTCTTCCTCCCTCCCTTTCTCTGCTTTGCCCCCCCCCCCATTCTCCAGGTTAGGGTGGGGGAAGCCTGCAGTAAAAACTCTACTTTCACCCCACTCTGAGTAGCCACCAGACTATCCCTAGATTTTAAGAACACAGTTTTTATTTTATTCCTCATGAGATTCTTGGCTTTTTAACTGCCTTGCAGACAAAGTCAAAGCAAAAATCACTGAGGTGTAGAGTATCGGTATTAACCCAAGGTTAGGGTCGGAGGGGGCAGGGGGTTCGGCTGGGTAATGGGGTCAAAGTGTGGTCTGCCCTCTGCCTGGAGCATTTAATTTCTAGCAGTTGGCACTGGTGATGCCTGAAGAAACTGTCTGGGGTTAGGGGGGAGAGGGAGCAAAATAAGGTGAAGTCAGGTGTCTTCTGGAGAAAACCTTGGAATTCCTAGTTGCTGTGGGGAAATATTTCCATGAATTCTGCAGAGCCTGCTCTGTCTGAACCTGGTGTGGAGAGCTGGGCAGTCTCAAGAACTCAGGGAAGGTTCTAGCACCCAGGACAGGAAGCGGGCAAAGCCCTGAACCGCTGACCTGGATCTTTGTAAATGTCACTTCCTCAGTGAGCATCCAGGGCCTTCTCCGTGCCTAGGACACACAGGCCCGCAGGTTCTAAGAGGCATCCAGCTGGCCTCCCAAGTCTCTGACCTTCTCGGGAAGGAAACAGTTTCCCTCCCAGAGGGCCTACTCCCTCAGGAAGCCACCAGGTGTAGCTGCAGCAGCCTTGGCCTGACCTGGCTTGCAGGATCAGTTTAGTCCTATTAAGACTCCTGCCCCCGAAGGTAAAGGCGGGGAATCAGGAGGCGCCCTTTCTAAATAAAGCAAACAGACTTTATGAAGCCTGTCTGAGGTCAGTTCCAAACTGACGATGTACCAGGCGGGGGCCTGACTTTTACTGATGAACCCCTGACTCAGGTCACCCTCCCTGTCACTGTATGGTGCTTCTTTTCCCCAGCCTCCCACTCCTGAGCCCCTCCAGACACTGCCATTTATACTCAAAGCACCAGGCCTTGAGCACCACTCAGGCTTGCTCAGAGAGAGGAGGGCAGGGAAGGTTGCTCTGGAAGTTGCTGCTTTTCAAGAAGTCTCTAGTCCTGTGTCACCACCTGAGGCCCTACAGCCCTAGATGTCCACTCTACAACCTTGGTCCCTGAGCATCCCCCAGTATTGTGCCGACGCCTCATCTGAGGATGAATGCTACAATAATAGGAGAAACTTCAGCTTAGTGAGCTTTGGGGAGCAGAGCAGAAGATGCAGGATATTGGGGGTATGATTTGATTTGGGGGAAAAACTTCTGGCCAAAGCAGGACTGCTCAGAGGCAGCGGCTGTTTTTCGGGTGACCTCCAGGATCACCACAGTGGTCTGTCTCTCCAGGGGAGCAGTGAGGATGAACTCCTGTTACTTGTCAAACTTGATGTCCCAGGCCTCCAAGGGCTCTGCCCGGCTGAGCAGAAATCATCTGGCTTCTCTGTCTGAAATTCATGGGTTGTATTTTAATAGTGAACCGCTGAAAGAAGACTTTCAGGGAAGAGGTTTGATATCTTCTGGAGCTTAGTGGGAAGGCAATACTTCTTTCATTCCTTTTCACTGTTTCAGTGAAGGGACTAGTGTAAACTTGGGGGTCACATACAAGTCCAGTCCACCCATGGTTCTTAATGTCTTCATCCAGTTGCTACTTCAGGGGAGGTAAATCTTGGCACTGTTAGCTCCTCCACAGGCAGAGTCCATAGCAGATTTCAGGGGTCTGTGGACGCCTGAAATTAATTGTACATGAATTTTTGTGTATCTAAGCTTATGGGCATTTTTATGAGGAAAAGTCCATAGTGTACACTAGATACTTTGAATGGTCTGGACTTCCCCTTACCCCCAATCTGAGAAGGAGACTCAAAGATTCCTGAAGTTCGTGGGAACTTAGGGGGGATGTCAATAAACGCCTAAACCTAAACAAATCATGAAAGAGCAATATAGGGGCATAATACCAAAAGAATTAATGGAGATAATACCAAAAGAATTAATTAAAGAGAATTCAGAGTGGGTGTCCTAGGGAGCAGGAAAATGACTAGGGGTGTTGAGGGACTGATTTTTAAAAAATAAGAGGCCTTGTAGAACCACCCAACTCTTTAAACCACGTAAAGTGTATTTTGATAAAATTACTAATTAATATTGGGAATTAAATAATTAAAAGCACTGAAGCAAAGAAATGTGAGATTAAACCAGCTTTAAAAAAAAAAAAAAAAAAAAGCAAAGCCCTCCTTCAGCTTTTAAAACTCACCATTGGCTTGAGTAGGAGATGCCCAGTTATAAGTGACCAGTTAAGTTTTACTCAGATCATTTCCCAAGAGAGAAAAGGGACGTGGGAGTCTTCCTATTCCTGCTGTCCTCTGTGGGCCAAGAACACAGGACACTGGCAGAAGCTAGGAGAGAGGGACTTAGGAGCTGGATAGTCCCCTCATTGTGATGTGTCCCCGAGACACCCCGCGTCTCAGTTCAGGGTCTCGGTCTCCTTCTGGAGGTGAAGAGGGAGTTGTCGGGCAGGGTAATGAGAGCACAGCTCTGTAACAACTTTTAAAAACATTTTGATGGAGGAGCAGAGGACCTTGACGTGTGCAGGGCGTGGAGTGGGAAGTGGTGGGTGACTTTCGTTATATTCCTGGCAGAACTTTTCCTACAAGTTCCTCCCACCCCTGGAATCTAAATCGGGTGAGGGTGGCAGCTTCCCCAAAGAAACACTTTCCTTTTGAGATTAGTTTTCTTTATGTACTGATGTGAACTGTTCTCCAGATGATGTTGTTAAGTGGGGAAAGGCAAGATGCAAAACAGTGTTTCCACCACGCCAACACTGGTGTGAAAAAAAGGGGGAAAATCCTGGCCGGTCAGGCTCAGAGGTTAGAGCTTTGGCCCATGCACTGAAGGGTTGTGAGTTCGATTCCCCATCAAGGGCATGCACCTGGGCTTTGGGTTTGATCCCTGGCCCCGGTTCGGACTCATGTGGGAGGCAACTAATCGATGTGTCTCTCTCACATCAATGTCTGTCTCTGTCTCCTCTCTCTCTCTCTCTCTCTCCACCCTCCCACTCCCTCCCCCATTCTCTAAATCAATGGGAAAAATATCCTTGGGTGAGGGTTAACCAAAAAAAGTGGGGGGAGGGGAGAAATGCAGTCCTACCGGGAAGGATTCCATCAGCTGATGAAACCGGCCGTCTCTGAGGGAAGCAGGGAGATCTGGCTGGAGAAAGGGCTTTTACTATAGGCCCTTGGGCAGCTTTTGGGTTTTGAGCCTTGTGAATTTATTACCTGTTCAGCTAATAAAATGTGGCTTCTCTAAGATGTCTGGGGAGTCTTCTACTCAGGAAGCCTCCTCCCTAACCCAGGAACCCCGCGCGAACTCCCTGCCTTGTGCCTCCCTCTTGAGCACAGTTGCTCTGAGGAGCAGTTGTTCTGACCCAGACCCTGGGACACCTTAAGTTCGGGACATCCGCCTCTTTCTCTCTCTCTCATCCATTTCAAAATGAAGTCAGTGTTTTTCTCTAACTTGTTCAAGCTCCATTGTACTTACTTGCTTTCTTTTGTTCTTTGCAGGATTCGACTGGACCTATTTTGGTGAGTAGTGATCTTAAATATTTTTTTGAGGAGATGGCCATGTTGAATGAGAAAGCCAGAAATGTCATGATCTGTGGAGATTCTTTTGGGGGATGGAGGAGAGCAGCTCTGATATTGTTAAAAAGGCATGAAGGCCTCTCTAAGGAACCACTCCACATGGGTTGTGTGCTGCACTTTCTCCAAGCAGTTGAGCCTGCTCCATGCACTTGAACTTTGAGTCATAGTGTTAAGGCTTCCAGATTCCTGCAAGCACTTCTACCAAACCTCCCAGGCGAAGATGCCCAGGGTACTTCCACTCTGCGAGGACCAGGGGCAGGAAAGAGCCTTTCTCTTCCATGGGACATTTACCCTACAATAAACAAAGAATAAAGGGCTCCTTTTGGAAAGTTTGGCTCAGGCCCCAGGACTTAAGCTGTCAGTATGTCTAGAATTAATTTCTTCATGCCCGGTTTGTAAACAAGCAATGAACGAAGCGGCGATGGTCAGTCTTTAGTGAAAGAGGGATACTTATCTTAAATGGGGAGAGAGGGACACCAATTGTGCACCGGGGTTTCTGTGGGATTGGGTCAAGAAGGACATTGGCCTGCAAGGTGAGCAGCTTGAAATCAGCTCAGCTGGTGTGTTGCCATGAATTGGAAACTTGGTCATCAGCTGGAGTGGCAATGGGAGGCCAAGCACCCGGGTCCACTGGCAAGTGCAGGGATATTAATACAGTAGTTCCTTCCTTATCTGAAGTTTCACTTACTGTGGTTTCAGTTACCCAAGGTCAACCACAGTCTGAAAATATTAAATGGAAAATTCCAGAAATAAGCAATTCACTGGTTTTAAATTGCGCACCATCCAGAGTATGAAACCGGACACAATATGAATTCGGACTGCCTGCTGCTTCTTCAGCAGCGACAAGGGCATTTATTCCGTTATTACTGGCAAAGGGGAGAGCAGTGGGATTTGTCCACATAAAATCTGCTCTGCCCTTCCCTTATTACCTGGTTGGCATGCAAGGGGGAAGAGGGTGTGTGTGAGGATGGCTGCAGGGTCCGTGGTCCGTGTGTCTCCTTCTAGGACCTTGGAGTCTGATAAGAAAGTAGTTAATTTTCACTGGTGTTAAAACCCAGTTCCGCCAGCTCCTAGGACTTGTGAATGGTCGGCATTCCTGAGGTAAACTCCTGGGGTGTGGAGGGGGTTCAGGCTCCAGGCACAGCAACCAAATCAAAGTGCATCCTGTCCTTTCTCTGTTCTTGAAATGCATTTTCTTTTCTGAGCAAATGGGCCCATCCAGGCCCCAAGGTGTCTCATCTTTTTCCAGCTCTGTTTTTCTTCTTGCAGCACATACTCCAGTTTCCCTGGGTCTGTAGGAAAACTTCTTATCTACAGTTAGTCAGGTGAATAATCATCAAACAGCTATGGTCCTATTCCTATTAGGTGCCTTCCCCCCTTTCATAATCACGGTTAGGGCATGATCAGCAGCTCTGCCCCCAACAAGAAGAATGATGAAATCGCGAGCTGTCCCACTCTGTCTTGCCCAGGACGTGAATCACCACTTTTGTTCACATCCACACTGCACGCGCTCTCCAGCGGCCAGTCCCTTAGCAGCTGTCTTGGTTATGGAGGTGGTGGGGATAAGACCACACACACATAGCTTTTAATATAGTATACTATGATTGTTCTATTTTATTATTTGTTGTTAATCGCTCACTGTGCCTACTTTATAAACTAAACTTTATCATAGGTATGTATGTGTAGGAAGAAGTATGTATAGGGGAAGGGAGGGAACCTGAAAAGCGTGCCTGTTTCATGCACTTCCTAAACGACTCTTAGGCACATGCTGTTAACTGAGAACCACTGACCAGATGGTTCCCAAGACCTTTCTAGCCTGAGTCAGGGGTAACTTGCCCCACCTTTTCTACTGGCCTCCCAGGTATAGTGGAAACACAGTGGAATTTCTCCAGGGCTCCCTGCCTCAGTGTGACAGCCCCACCCCCACCCTCACCCCCCAGGGCAGAGTGAGATAGTTCCAGAGAACTGAGAGTTAAGACGCTGTGGGAGGACAATCTTACTGCCCCTTAGCTGTGACTTGGTGTTCCCCATGGTGTTCCCAGAAGGAGGCTTCTCTTTCCAGCCATATCGACTGGTTCGAAGCATTTTTTCCTGACCACTAGCTCTGGCCAGCCCCCTGTCCCTCTGTCATGCACAATTAGAGCAGCGCTTTGCTGAGGAAGCAGAGAGCAGAGTCTAATGAAGCATGACTCGCAGGGGGTTGGGGGGTGAGCACAAAGCAAATCTGGCTTTTCGTTAGTGAAATGAGCACATGTGATACGGAGTTAGCCCGCAGTGGGGGCCAGTGAAGGAAGACGGATGGAGGACAACTGAGGAGGCAAACAGGTCCTGGCTGGCAGCTGCCACCTGGGCTCAGAGTCACACAGGTAAACAGGGGACCTGGCATGGGTCCTAGGGAAAAACTGTTTCCAAGCAGTAAGGGCTGCACTGAATGGGGCATGTCCAACCAAACGCCATGTGGTTTTCCCAGGGCGCAGACCTCAGCTACTCTGCACGTAGATGCTGCTGAGTCATCCTGATCCAGATACTTGCAGCTGCCTGGTATACGTGGCAGGACTTCTAGAAACACATGGAAAGAGAACTCTACCCCCATCCCTCTCCACCTTGAGTCACCAGGCTGACCTCTCAGATGCTCTCCCCAGAGACAGGAGGACCATCTGACAGCCAAGATGGGACCAGCCGTCCCCTCTGCACTCCTCCCAGGTGGCTGAGGCAGCAGCTGGATGTGTGCTGGGTTGGAAATTGCTGAGTGGGCCCTCCCCACTGGTCATCAGTCCCAGGTCAATCCTGCTGAGCCCCTGCAGCTTCACCAACCCCTAGCTGGAGGGCAGCTGCAGGTCAGGTTCTCATGTGAGCTGAGGGTAAACTCCAGCTGGCTGAAGCAGTCCACGCTGTTACAAGTCAGGACAGCAGGTGCCCTCAGGGGCTGGAGGTGCCTGGAAGGAGGCACATGGAGAGGTGCTGGTTGTGTTCAGTTTGTGAAAATCCACCGTGCTGTTCGCTTATGATACAGGCACTTTTCTGTATGTGTCTTAAAGTCAATAAAAGAGTTAAAAAAATTCCATCTGGCTGGGAGAGTCCTCCTCACCGTGATAGTATTTATAGCCCTCCCCCAAGAAAAACCAAAAAAATCCCTCAGTGTTCAAAACAACAGAGCAACCAAAAAGAATGACTCTACTGGAATTAACCACCCAAGAACACATCATGTGAGCAGGGAATGGGCACCACCTTCCATACTGAGGATAACCAGACTTTGCTTTCGTGCTCCTCGGATGTGAGCGAGTTCAGAAATGAGCAGTTCCACTGTTTGCTAGAGATTTTGGAGAAGTAAGACCCTTAAACGTTTCTTCAAAGGAAGTGGGATGAAAAGGGAACATAGAAGCCACACCTGCCTCCTGGAGGGTGAGCGAGTCCCACCTTTCCCCTAGCCGGGGCCGGGGAGGCAACCGCCAGCCCAGCCCCTCCCGCCGCAGGGAACCCTGGAGCGAGGGTGGCTTGGCCCCAGGGGGAAGGGGGTGCCGGGCAGCAGGCTGCAGCCATTCGCAGGCCCTCCTGCCCACCTTCTCCGCAGTGGCTGGGCAGCCCTCAGCTGTGGTAGGGCACCGTGTGACCCAGGAGTGCCACAGCGTCCCTCACGCTGTTGCTGTCCTTTCTCCCAGACTGCAGATTCCCCGTCTTAAAGGAACTGTCTTTGGGAATCGGGAAGGGACCCTCCCTGGGCTCCCACCTGCCGCCTCCACCCACCTTCTGTCCTGAATCTGCTGGAATATGAAATTGCTGTAAATGACCTTGCCCTGGGACTTGGGACATCCTTCCAAGCCCTTCCCAAACTCTGTGAGAACCAGACATGGAGCACATGGAAGGAGGCTGGGAGGAAAAACCCTTTCCTTTCTGCTCTTCAGCAGTGGTGAAGGCGCCATGTGACCTCCCACTCAAAGGCAGTCTGACAAGCAGACTGTTGGAGCTAAAGGGAAAACTCAAAAGGGCAGCCAGGGAGCGTGTGCGACGGGAAGGCTCATGGAATTAAGGATGGTGCTTGTTTTCCCCAGGGGTAGAGAGGGTTAGCCAACCCCAGCACCCCAGGGACTGCTCTCCCACTCCAGCTGCCCTCCCGAGGACGAATGAGAGGCACAAGGCACTCTTAGGAGAGAGAGCAGGAGAAGGCCAGGACATGTCTGACGTACCGGAAATCCTTACACCTGTGTCTTGGGAATGTCCCTTGAGGCTGGGATTCCAACAAACTACCGTTTTTTAACTCTGAGCTATAGTTCCAGTTACTTCTAACTGACGTTGTGACGTCCCGGGTCTGATTAGATGTGGTATGATTCACCCCCTGGTAATTATTTCTCATCTTTCCTGAGTTGCATTGAGGTTTGTGTGTTCTGGAGGATCCTGGCCTGCGGCTGCCCAAATGCCTGCATTCAGCTGGCCTTTCCAGCTGGATGAAAAGATAGGAAAGCCAGCATTAGCTCCTAAAGGCAGGTGTATGCCAGGAGGGGTAGGGTGAGGCAGAAAACCAGGGGGAAGAAGTGTAAAGTGTACAGAACCCCAAACCAGGCAGACCTCCATGGGAACATCTGCTAGGTCACTTTCTGGCTGAATGACCTTCAAAGTAACTTAACTCTCTGGATCTCGGTTTTCTCAACTATAGCATGAGAGTAATAGCACCTACCTCAGTGGTTCTCAAAGTGTGGTCCCCAGACCAGCAACATCAGCATCGCCTGGGGCTTCAGATGCGCTTCCCACTCACTAGGAAGTAGAAGTGAAACACACAGAAAGAGGCAGGGAGGAAAAAGCCAAACCCTTCTCTTCGGTTCTCCAGCAGCAGTAAAAGCACCATGTGCAACTTTGTTAGAAATACACATTCTCAGCCCATCTCGAATCTACCTATGAATCAAAAAGTCTGGGACAGGGCCCAGCTCTCTCTCTCTCTTTTAAACTGT